TTGCTTTTATTCAAAGCCGTTTCCTTAGTTTTTGCTCGCGTCACGATGTTGTTTTTCAAGGACGCGGATTGATTTAAGTACAAAGTGCGTTCGTGGAGTCTATTTAAGGTCTTTATTCAGGTAGTAAAGGTATCAGGGCATACCCCCATAGTAGTTTTTTTTTTAGAATTGTTTAGCAAGATGATAAAATCAGGATGATTATAAGACAACCTTTTGTTGTTTGTCAGATTTTTAAATCGTTTTAATCTTTTTTTTTTTTTTAAATAAAATTAATGGTTTAGGTTAATGGATCGTTTTTAATCCGTTATTTTTTTTTTTAAACCGGAGCCCCTTCTTTCCCCCTCCCCCTCCCCCCAATCTCTCACTCTTTTATTTTTCCTTGACTTAAAGTAATAAAAATTTACTGAAGTTTTTTTTTAAAAACCCGGATAAGGTTTCCCAGTTTTTTTTTTTATTAATACGAAGAGTAGCAGACGATTTTTTGTTTTTGTTTTATTTTCTCTATGGATCGAAATTTTGATTTTTACATTTAAAAAAATGAAAATTTTACGCACGCGAAAAAGGGAAAATGGCGAAGAAAAAAACTATAATTATTATTATTATTTTTCTAAACGCGATGGCGATGATGGCTGATGATGATGATGATGATGATGATGAAAGTGTTGAAAACGTTTTTTTTTATTCTCTTACCTAAGTTTTCAAATATTTGACACCTTTTAAAAGAAGCTATTAAAATTTGCAGCGATGAGTCGAATGATAATAATAATAATAAACGGTGATTGTGCGTGCGTGCGTGCGCGTGTGCGCGTGTTGTTTGCAACATATTGCGTGTATTTGCGCGCGTTGAAATTAAATTGCATCAGTTTGTACAAACCGATTATTTTTTAAATAAAAAATGACAAACGATTATTTTTAAGGCCTTGAGACAATGCACAACAATTTTTTCGTTTGTTTGTTTGTTTGTTCGTTTGTCATCGGTTTTTTTTTAAATATTTAAATAAGTTATTATTAATGTTGCGACTTTTTTTTGTATCATTCTCGATAATTTTTTATTATTATTTTTTAAATAGAAAAACTTAACATAAAGGAAAAGGGGCAAACGCACACCAACCCCCCGTTTCCCTCCCCCCAAATCAAATTAATTAATTTTTTTTCTCATCGACTCCATTTTTAAAATCTCGTATAGTGTTTTTTTTGTTTGCGGTTGGTTGACTTTTATTTTTTGTATCATTCGAAATCGATCGTAAAAAAATTTATAGTTTTTGAACTTTAGGTATCGAAATACTCAATCACCTTTGTTGTCTTCTGAACAAATTTACCCCCCCGGCAACAAAAACTGACGCCAGTTTAATTAATGAATTTATTTTCTTTCTTTTTTTAACTCACACGAAATCCTCTAATTGACCGTTTTTTTTTTCTCAAAACAATATGTCTTTTTACGTTTTCCTTTTTTCATATCCATATTTTAATTTTAAACTCGTTTAAATAAATGTTTAGTTTATTACGACGTTGGGAACTTCTCTCCCCCCTTCCCCCCTCTCTCTCACTATCGGTGTGAACAAAAAAAAAAAGGTCGTTAAATTTTATAAATGAACCGGAAATAAAACAAAAAAAGAAATTTGTTTTTGTTTGTGGCCTTACGTAAACGATTCTGTTGGTAAACAACAAATGACGTTTGATTTTCGGCAACAAATCGATTATTACCTGCCACGACGTTTGTTGATTTTGATTTATGTACAACGAGACGATTGAATGAATGCGATTGAATAACTCGACTAGGTTTTCCTTTTATTTTACATCACGTGATCAAAAATTTAAAAAAAAAAAAGATGTTTCGGTTATATATTGAACGCGTTCACGAATTCACGGTTGAAATTTTAAAAATCTGGAAATTTTCTGGAAGAAGAGTTCGAAGGTCAAGAGAAGGAGAAAGCAATCGAAAAAAATTTTTTTTATTACAAAATCATTACAAATCGAGTTGGTAGGGGGGGGGTTGGGAGAAAAAAAATAAAAATTTATTTTTCGAATGATGATGATCAATGGTGGAAATTACGACAGGATTCACGACGACAAATTTTATTTCTTCGCAACTAAAAAGGTATAAATCGCGTAGAAAATTCTAGAAGGAAAAGAAAATTTTTACTTTACGACTTAAAGAAACCCCCCTCCCCCTATTTTTCTTTTTCAAAATATTGTCGTTGAGATGATTATGTAAAAAAAAAGAAAAAAATTACGTTTCCGGATAAATTTTCACGGTTAAATGCTCTTCAAACATGTCGAAACTTGTTAAGAAGAAAATATTAATAATAATAATAATAATGATAATAATATTACAAAACATCGGTGAATGTGCAAAAGAAAACGTAAAAAATGATTATTTATCGGCGACGACCTTGCAAAACCTGGAGAAAGGCTCCAGCGAGATGAGATGCATTCGCGCCTTTCATCTTCATTTAACAAAAAAAAAAATCGTGATATTTTTTAAATTTCAAGGTCGCGGCAACATTTACCCCTCCTTCCCTCCCGAATCCCGTGACTCCACCCACGACGCCATTTCCCTCACCTCCCCCTCCGTCCCCCAACTACCTACCTACCTACCCACCCACCTACCTTCCTCTCTGCACGTAAAATTTACGCACGTAAAAGTTTTTTTACATTGATAAGGATAAACAATGTACGTAACCTTTATTGATTTTACGCGGGTGTTGCCAACTTTCGAAAAAAAAAAACAAATTTAAACAGTCGAATCGTTTTTATTATTAAATTATTATTATTATTATTTATTTTTTATCGGTTAAAATCACATAAAATGTCGCGTAAAAATTTGAGCTTTAATTGAACCTTTCCAAAAAAAAAAAAAAATAATAATGATAATGATGATGATGATAATAATAATAAATCGTAACCGTCAAACCTTGGAAACGATGCATTTATATTACCTCGCTGACTAAATTTGTCATAGCTTTCGTGTCAGGGCCGACAACTTTTATTATCGAGAAGCTTTTTTTTTTTTTTTTTTATCAATCAATACGAACTTACCATCACTTATGTGATAATAACCATCGTCGTCGCCGCCATTACCCTTGTCATAAAAAACGGGGGTGGGGAGGAGAAGGGAGGAAAAGGGAAAAAGTTGAAAGAAAAAGAACGTTGGTGGTTGGCAGTATTGGAAAAAAAAAAAAAAAAAGTAACAGGATTTACATTATTATAGAATTTAAATTTTTATTTTGTATTCGATTTGTTCTCCAGTATTTTGTCGTAATGTTTTTCCAGTAGTACGTAGGAAGGATTTATTATTATTATTGTTGTTTGTTGTTGTTATTCAAACCGCATGGGAAAACAAAATCGATTCAACGGTTGTTTTTTTTTTTTCTTTTCTGGTCGTTGTTTAATTCACGTATTAGTGAGCAAACGATTCATAATAATAATAATAATAATATTAGGAATGACGATGATGATGATGATGGTGTGATTATTGAAATGGACTTTGAAACTTGATTTTTAAATTCCCTGGATCTCCGTTCCCCCCTTCCCCCGTCCCCCTCATCCCTTCTCCTTCTCCCCAAGACGAAAAAGATTTTTCTTCCGCGATCAGGAGCCATTAAAAATCCATAAATTTTTTTTTTTTTTTTTTAAAAAGGTAATCTGAAACTGTTTTACAGGTGTGTTGTTGTCGTTGACGTTGATGTTGACGTTTGTCACAATCGATGTTTATTAATAATAATAATAATAATAATGTTAATAATCGGATTAAATTATGGAATGAGGATCGATGAATGCTAATAAACGATTTGGAAAAAAAAATTAAATCTGGAGAATTTTTATTTTTATTGTTTTGTGTTGTTAAATGAAGAAGAAAAATTATTATTATTCTTATCGTTTATTTCCATTCATTAATAATAATAATAATAATAATAATAATAATGATGATGATGATGATGATGATTACTTTAAGGATTATATTGACCCTTTACTCTTTTCACTTACTCTCTCCTTCTCCTTCTCCTTCTTCTCACTTCCATAAAATCTTTCTCACCGTTATTTCAATAAGAAAAACGTTTATTTTTCTTGTTTTTTTTTTTAATTTTTCTTGAATGAATTTATTCCTCCCTCCCTCCCCCGTATCCCCCCAAAAAAAAAAAAATTTATCTAAGGAAAATTATTATTAATATCATTACTTGTTTCACATCATCGCGTGTGTGTTTTTCGTACAGTCGTTCCAGGACTGGAACTGGAATTCATCTCTTTAGTGATTTTTTCTTTTTTTATCTGTAATAATAATAATAATAATAAATTTTTTTTTTTTGGAAAAGACGTAAAAAAGGTTCAGGTGGTAAAATCTACAACACCGAATTTTACGAGTCGTGTAATTAGATAATAAACGTGAAATCAAATTTGATTTCTTCCTCTCTCTCTTTTTCTCTCTCTCTCTCTCTTTTTCACTCTCTCTTTCTCTCTCTGTCTCTCTCTCTCTCTCTCTCTCCCCTTCCTCCTTTTCCCTTGCCTCACATTTTTTTTTTTTTTGTTCTTTGAATTTAGGTTCCGTATAAAAGGTCGCAGCATCCGCATCGGAAGTAATGGACCTCTCAAATCCCAAAAGTAATTTTTTTTTATTAAAAAAAAAAAAAAAAAAAAACGAAAGGTCGTCGGTTTTTTTTTTTCGATGCGAGATCCATTTTAAAAATTTTTTTATTTTTTTTTGAACTTTCACATTTTCTTTTTCCCCCTCCCCCTCCCTTTCCCTCCTCGCCCCCTTTTCCTTTTTTTTTTTTTCATAACAAACGCAAATCATTTGAAAAATTTCACTCCGATCGTTACGTAAACTTCAGCACACACACACGCACTCACAAAAATTATTATTATTATTATTGTTTTATCATCACGACCATCATTGCCATCACCGCCACCACCACCACCACCACCACCATCACCATCATTATTATCATCATCACCATCACGGTAATAATAATATTAATAATAATAATAATAATAATCGATTAATGGTTTTTTCGAGGTTGGTCCCGGATATTCGGGTACCTACCTGACTCATTTACCTTCTTCCTTTCTTCATCTCTCTCTCTCTCTCTCTCTCTCTACCCCTTTTTTATTTCTTTTACAAATAATCAAATGATGTAAATGGTAAAAGTGACACGGAGGAAAGAGAAAGAGAAAGAGAGAGGGAGATGATGATGCTAATGTTTTTCAACAACCGTAGCTGGCAGAACTTCCATCTCCGTTTTTACATCCGTGTCGGTCGGTCGGTCGGTCAGTTTCCATTTCAAGGTTTTTCTTTCGGGTTATTATTTTAATTTTAATTTTTTTTTAACGTTCAAATCATTTTTACGATTATTATTTTGTTGTTGTTGTTGTTGTTGTCGTCGTCGTCGTCTTTCATTTATTATTATTATTAATGCTACCATTAAACTTTCTTTGTGAGAGTATATATATATATATATGTATAAGGTCGTTTGTAAATTATTTTTCAAGGACGTAGTACGAATATCGTGTTATTATTAAATCGATATAGAAATGTACGTTCACGCACGTACACACGCACGCACGCACTCACGCACGCACGACGGTTTTCACTTTTTTTTTTTTTTTTGATTATTTAGTCTGTTAATGTAAAAGGATTTTGACTTTCCCCCGAACGGTTTCGACAACATCATCATCATCATCATCATCCGCGTCTGTACTCGTCGTGTTAACGTCAAATAAAAGTTTAATATTTGCGTAAAGTTCAAAAGGTTAAAATATTCTTTTACTTTTTTCCCGCATGATTAACAGTCACGTCGACAGCAGCAATTACTGACGCGATGACTCTCGGTTCACAATTGAGAGGAAGTTGGGGGAAATTAAAAAAAAAAAAAAAAATTAACGATTCCGATAAATTTGTCATAATCATCATCATCATTATTATTATTATTTTTTTTTTTTTTTTACAGCAGCGACGGCGAAGGAGGAAACAGTTTGAAAAGCGGTTACGATTTCGACGAACAAGAAATAGAAAATTTAGACGATGCGAGAAAAGTAATAAGAGAATTAAAGGAAAGATGTAGAAATCAAGCGCAACAACTTCTTCATTGTAAAAGAAGAGTTAAAACACAAGTAAGTGTTTTTGCCATTATCATTATTATTATTATTATTATTTAGGCGCGATTTTCGAAAAATTTAAATTTTTCGTGAATTGATAATTTCAGGATGAAATGGTGGCACGTTTTCAACAGGAGAGAGCGGATCAATTGAAAGCTTTGTCGTCTCAGCTTTTCTTATTCGAAGCACGACTCATAAGAAAGCAAAAGGACATAAGTAACCTGTTGTCGCAGAGAGACGTACTCATAGCACGTCAGCAACAAGCACTTCATATCCTACAACAAAGACTGGTCGAAGCCGGAATTGAATCTCCACTACCAGACGTTTCTTGTTTCATAATTGATTCACCGACGGGAGATACAAATTTAGACTCGTTGAATGACAGTGATAGTGCCGTGGTTCTAGAAGAGGGAAACGATCACGAACCTAATTTTCCAAGATTTCGGTCGGGTTCGGATAGCGTGACTATAATCAGAAGTGTTTCCGATGCCGTCGAACCGGGTGGAAAATATTATTCCCTGAGGAGATCAAACGGTTTTCTCAGACGTCCGGAAGTATTAGAAACCGTTTATAGCGTCGAAGAAGATGGCGACACGGATGGTAGCACGTCGAATTCTAATACGGAAATGAAAAAGGAATACGAATCTCCGATGATGAACGACATGATGAAATCCGATTTGTCATCATCATCATCATCGGAGAGTAAAACAACGACTCCTCTCTCGTCGAAACGTTTGCTTTGGAGCACGTCGGGAAAACTTCAAGCTCTCTACGGTAGTTTTGAAAGACTCAATCATTCGTCATCTTCCACTCCTAAAACATCCTCGATAACGGATAAAAAAGATGAGCATCCGACAAATCATGTCGTGACGACATATAATCGCGTCATGAGCAATCACAGATCCGTGACGAAACCGAAAGATGTCAAATATAAAAGAATAAACAAAGCCAAATCGAAATCTCTCGAAGAACTCAGAGGAAGACTTAAAAATTGGGTTGACAAAGGAAGCAAAAGCGTTGGAGCTTTTGATCACGCGGATCCTTAGTTTCTTTTCTTTTATTATTATTATTATTATTTCTTTTTTCGTTTGTTTGTTTTTTTTTTTTTTTTTTTTCGAAAAATATTTTGTTATAAATTTTCTCGTTGGGAAAATCTGCCGAACGCGCGGTTTTTCATTTTGAGAAAAATTATTTAAAAAAAAAAAAAAAAAAAGAAATTTTTTTAAAGTTACCGACGAAGTGAATTTTTTTATAAATTTTTTTTTTTTTTTTAATTTTTAAGCTTAAATAAATAAAATAAGTTTTTGCAATATTATAAATAAATTTTGTTTTTTTTTTTTCTTCAACCTTTTACTATATATGTTAATCCTTTTTAATACTTGATTTTTTTTTATTATTAATTATATTATAACAAACGCCTGAGAAATATTCAAAAGCCTGAAAAAACGGGAAAAATACACGAACGTATGGCAAATTGCATAACCGCTAAATGTTAGGCGTCACTTTTTTTCCTTCGATTTCATGCTAGTTTTTCGGTTTGAAGTATCAATGTATGATAATATTTAGGAGGTTAGATTTGCTCGTTGTTAAGCGCCTTAGAAAACGAAAAAAAAATACGTAATACACGAACGTATGGCAAATTGCATATTCGCTAAATTTTAGGCGTCATTTTTTTTCCCTTCGATTTTACGCTAGTTTTTCGGTTTGAAGTATCAATGTATGATAATATTTAGGAGGTTAGATTTACTCGTTGTGAAACGCCTTAGAAAACGAAAAAAATACACCAACGTTAAATTGCATACCCACTAAATGTTAGGCGAATTTTTTTTTTTTTTTACTTTAAATTTACTTTCCGTCTAAGTTAATCGTTTTAAATAGTTTTTATTATTAATATTAATTAATTACTTAAAATAAAGGATAATATTTAACGGGATAATTAATAATTATTAATAAAATGATTGTTTGATTGAAAAATTTTTATTTAACTTTATATTTTTTATATAAATTAAATTCACATAAAAATTTTTCCTGAGATTTTTTTTGTTATTTAATTTATTTACAATAAAAACAATACTACACTCTCGAGTATGATAAATTTTTCATTTTTTTTCCCCTTTCACTAAAAAAAAAAAATTTTCACATGGCAAAAAATAAAAAATAAAATAATTAATTACATTTTTTATATATATATATATATATAAACAAACATAAATTTAAACGAGCAAACTTAAAAAATCAAATTTATTAATTTAATAAATTTTTATTGCTTACTTACTTTTTCTTTTTTTTTTTTTTTTTTGTCTAATCTAATGTAAATCGACGTAACTTTAATTTAATAAAATATTATTAAATTTTTTTTTTCCCCGTTTATTTTAAATGTTGTTTTAAACATAAATCATCCGACGATTCGTTTTTTATTTTTTTTCTTCTTCTTCCAGTTCCCAATCCCCGTCTCCTCCATCCCAACCGTCCCAATTGTTATTAATGGGTTCGTTGAAATCGACGTCGAATTTCGTTTTCGATGGATTTATGTTGAGAATTTGAGTTTTGCTTATAACGGGTTCCATATCGTGAAAAAAATCTATATCCGAATTAAAAACGTTGTTGGAACTCGTCGTTGAACTTTTTATATCTAAAAATGTTATGTCGGAATTATTTCTCAACGTTGATGACGTTTCGTCACTTTTTGAACTTTCCAATAATATTTCCGATGTTTTTTCACCAACGGTTTCTTTATTATCTTCCTCTTGTTTCGGTGGATTTTTTTCCGTCTGAAAAAACAACAAAAAAAAAATTTTACTCCATCAAATTTTTTTGGGGCGAAAAAAAAAAAAAAAAAAAAAAAAAAAAAAGAAAAAATTACCGGCAAATCCCAATCTGACCAATGTTCGGTTTCTCCTTCGACTTCTTCTTCTAAAGTTGTCGAAGAGGAATTTCCTTCACCACCATCCGGACTCAATCTTTCGGGCAAAACGTGATTTGGAAATAATATTTCAGACGGCGGTTTTATCGAATTTTCTAGAATATTTTTCCCTTTTGATGTAGTATTCGCGTCTTTGGGTGATGTGATTACATGCGAATTCGGCCTTCCGTCTGTGAACAATTTTAATCTTTTCCCACCTATGACGGTCCCACCTCCCAAAATTAAAACTAATTGTGATAATACTTTAAGAGTCATACTAACTAAATCGTCATTAACATCTTTTATACCGAGTAACAACTGAAATAAAAAATATTTTTTTATAAAATCTTCGACAAAATTTAAAAAAATAAATTTTGTGTGATCTGTGGAAATTTTTTTTTTTTTTTTTTTTTTTTTGATCACCTCAGGTAAAATTTGATGCTTTAATTGTTCCGTTGTGAAAACGTGAGAGAACAAATGAAAATGACTTAAAAGAATCATTCTTATTTGTATATCTCGAACGCAAAATATTTTAAGTAATTTAGGTATTAAATAACGTTTAAAAACATCTTCTGAAAATAAGGCAAATCCTTCACTCATTTGTTTCTCATCTGTAACGAATTCAAATTATTCTATTCCATCTTATAAACAAAAATAAATCAAATTTTTTTTTTATTAAAAAAAAGAATCTAACCAATTGATTTAGGTTGTAGTAAAACAGGAAGAAAATGTTTTTGAGCTGTGGCATCTAATAAAACTACTCTGGAAAGTAATAAAGAAGCCAATTGACATCCCACTACTTCTTCCGGTAATAAATTCAATTGCTCTGTCAATTCACTGAAATATAAATTAATCGAAATCATTAAAAAAAAAAAAAAAAATAACGAAATAAAATTATCATCGAATGAAAGATGTTTTTTGCAATTTTACCTGAAAAACTGTTCTTTTTCATCGTTTGTTTTCAATGGTAAATTCAATAGAAATTTAAATATTTTAATAAAATTGTGATTAAAAAATGGATGAATTAATACTTCAGATAAATTACTCCTATTTTCCGGATTTGAATTTTGTAGATTTTTCCTGCAATAATCTTTAAAATCTAATAAATGTGGTATTTCATCTTCTGTTTTTTTTTTAAGTAATTCTTCTACCAATATACCAAAAGCATATTTGTCAATGCTTTCAACATTAAATTTAATACTAGAATTAAGAGAGTCTTCTTCCGGTGAAATCCCTTTTTCATACCTACTATTTCTAATGGATTTTAAATATGTCGAAGTAACTTCACTAAACCTGAAAGCGAAAAATGAAAAAAATAAAATTTTAATATTTCTGGGAATTTGTTATTTTTCCAGGCAAAATTAAAATCACTTTTTTAAATATTCTAATCCTCCTAATTTCCATGTTCCTTCTGGAGTTACATATAAAGATGCGGAGCAAATGTTATTGTGAGACGATTGAGCTTTTTCATGAAGGAAAATAATGGCAGATAATACACTATGCAATCCTATACATATTTGCAATGTTGACTGACTAGTTATTATTAAATTTAATGGTTTGACTTCTTCTGTTATTAAATGATATTTATTATTTTTTTTCCATGAAGAAATATACTTTACTATGTTTGGGTGCCTATGAATCATTAAATTCTAAAATAAAATTAAAAACATTAACACTTTTTTTTTTTTTATAAAAAATATTGTTTTAGAAAAAGAAATTTATCTATTATTTACTTTTGAAAGTTTTTCTAAAAGCATTTTATTAGATTCCAACCCTTTTGCTTCACCAACAAACGCCGAATATTGAGAAACATTATTATCGATATCTTTAGCATAATGCAGAGTCCAATTATCTGTAACTTCTAAAGATTCTTCTTCCATATCAAATTTACAACTGCGACTTTCTTCGTTGCCCATTGCATTGCTCAGTTTATAAAAATTTTGTACTAATAACTGATAGTAATTTATTAAACATCGTTTCTATTAAATGCGACGACGTGACAAAAAATTATTGTAATAAAAACATTGAGATCTCTGATATGTGACAAACTTCATTAACAAGTCACACCTTCGACATAATTCCCTTGAAGGAAGTAAACATTTTAATCTATTGCCACGATATGGAGTAGTACCGAATTTTATATTGTGCCTTTAACTTAAAAAATTTAAATTTAGTTTTTTTAATTTTTTTTCGAAATGGACGAATTTTTTGAAATCCTTGACTGGCCGGATAGTAGTTATTCATCTATAAAAACCGGATATTCCTGCAATATTCAAAATAATGAAAACGAGAATAAAAAGAATACTTTGCTTGATAGTAATGGTTTTTCGAAGGATGATTCGAACAGCGTTTTAAAAGAAAATTCTCAAAATAATACTGTGATTTGCAATGAGCCTCAATCTAGTTTTAATTTAAAAGATCCTCCTGATATTAATGAGATTTTGGAATTAGATGAAATAAATATAAAACCCACCCCACATAATGTTAGTGTTCTTAATGCTGCATGTCAAAAAGTTTTAATAGAAATGGAAAGTACTCTTCTTAATTTACTTGAAAAAAATCGTGCCGATCAAGAAATCGTTTTGAATTATTTAAATTCTAATGAAAAACCTACTGTGAATAGTGAACCAAAGAAAAAAACTTTTAGCAGTCTTTGCATTCCATTTTTTAAAAATGAATTAGGTTATCCTCCACCTCAAAATCAAGATGTAATAAGAAAAAAGAGAAATCATAGTCATTTATCTGTTGAAAGTGTGTATGTGTCACACATTTGGAGTCCCAAGGATTCTAATTTATTAGTTAAAGCTGTAAATGAAGAGCAAAAAGAAAAATCAAATGGTAAATGTATTGATGCCAATTCAATAGATTGGATGAAAATTTCAGCTTCTTACATGAATGAAAAATTTACCGATTCAGAATGTAAATCCAAATGGATATTACATTCAAGTCCAAGTGTGAACAAATCTCCTTGGAAATCCAATGAAATTAAAAACCTAATGTCTATATCGAAGAAATATGGTAAACAAAATTGGGATGAAATAGCTATCGAATTAGGAACAAACAGAACAGGTTTTCAATGTTGTGTAAAATATCACATTCAACAGAATAGAAATGGCAGCAGGTGGTCCAAAGAAGAAGATTCAGCTTTAATATCATTAGTAAAACAATATCAAATTAAAGATTATATTCCATGGAAAAAAGTAGCTTGGAACGTTGATGGAAGAACACTTAGGCAATGTTACGAAAGATATAATTACCATTTACAAGACATAAAAAAGGGATATTTTACAAAACAAGAAGATTTTTTATTAGTTTATTTATATTCTCAACTTCACAATTTTAGAGAAGTTGGAAAATATTTCCCCTATAGAGTCCCCCCTCAAATACGAGCAAGGTATGAATACCTTGTCAAATCTGCGATGCCAAAATTTACCAAAGAAGAAGATAAATTATTAGCAGAACTTGTTGTGAAATATGCACGTAACTGGAATAAAATAAGTGAACATTTTACAAACCGTTCCAAGCTTCAATGTAGAAAAAGATGGGCCGACATACAGAAAGAAATCAGTCTTAAAGTTAAAAATGATAATGAGAGTGACAGTGATGTTGATAGCGTGGATTTAATATCCGATGAAAATCCAAACACGGAAAAACAAATAAAATTAGATGCAAACGTTTTAAATCCATCGTTGACTTCGAGTTCGAGCAGGAAAAAAAAACAACACAGTTTTTCTCCCGAATATGTGAATTTAATGAACTATTGCAAACACAGTTACAAATTTTTATTCGGTCCGAAACCACGACAACCCACGGAAGACGCAGATAAAAAACTTTTGTGCGATAATTTAATAATTTCAATGAAAAGTTTAGGAATCGAAAACGTTAAAAGTTCTTTCGACGTGTCCGCGTTATCAAACGATTGCGAATTTGACGCAGAAGATGTGGAAACATTAAAAAGAATTAAAAAAAGCGAGGAAGACAACGAAACGGAAACGGAAATCGAAGTCTGTCACAAAATAATACCTCCCAATTACGTGACGTTGGTTGGCGCGAGAACGTTGACTTTAAACAAAGGCAAAATAAAAAATCTTTGCGAATTTTACAAAAAAGACACGAAATCGATTCAAACCGGTTTTTCGGACAACGAGAGAATGTTATTCAGCGATGCTAAAAAATTATTCAAATCGAGATTGAAAACGTTGTTTGCGTTTCCGTTGATTTTGTCGAACATTTCGCCGAACGTTATCGATTTGAAAAATGTAAAAAAAGGAAAAGCGAAAAAAAGCAAACCCTTGTCGCAGAGACAAAGGAAAAATCATTCGAAAATGATGAGAGCTCATAAGAAATCATCGAGCAAAGTTAAAAAAATGATAAATAAAATTATTTCGGATCAAAAATGCGAAGAATTACCTGAAAATGACGAAACGGTTGGGAAACGAAACGAAGCAGACGAAAAACGAATCAACGGTGACGAAAGTACGACGATGACGTCAAGTGATTCGAACGTAACCAAAGTTAAAAGGAAAAGAGGGCGACCGCCGAAAAATTTAAAAAATGGCGGGAAAAAAATTAAACTATCAGATTAAATAATTATTTGTTTTGCTGCAATTCGTTGGTGGCCATTTTAAATATAAAAATATTATTAAAATCCATTTAATTTGTTTTTTTTTTTTAAATCGAATTTTCCTTAATCGTTAAAATATTTACGATGAAAAAAGAAAAAAAAAATTAAAAAATAAAAACTTATTTAATTTAAATGTAAAAAATATTTTATCACAAGACGCCATTTTGTTTTAAAAGGTAAGACTTAAAATAGTAAATGTTGTAAATTTTTCGTTTAAAACGAAATATTATAAATAAAATCTGTAATATTAATTAATTAAAAATTAATTAATTTAAAACGAGTAATTTATTGATATAGATAAAAAAAAAATTAAACTTACTTTAATACTACGAATCAAGTCGAACGATTTAAAAGGTTTTGTCGATTTCCTTGACCCATTAATTTTTTTTGCAACGTTTTAAATGGGATTTGTATCAGTAATGAAAAACAAAACGATGATATAAATATTATAGTTAAACTTCCGAAGAAATAAACGATCTGAAACAATTAAATCGTTAGGAAAATTGCATTTATTAAAAAAAAAAAAGTTTAAAAAATGTCAACAAACCATTTGTGTAAATTCTAAATGTATTGGATTTTCAAGATTTGATACTAATAATATTATTATTAACGGTGTTAATAAATATGTCGGATAAAAAAGTTTATCCAAAGTGTTCCAAGTCGAAAATGATAAAATTTGTTTAATGAAACCTAAAAAAAAAAAAACAAAAAAATTCGTTTTTATTTCGTTACGTTTTTTATTTAATTTTAATGACGTCATTTATATTATTATTACCTCCGTGATCGGTACAACAAGCAAATACTATCCATGCAAGTGCCAAACTCCATGCCGTTCGACTAAATGCATTGTAAAGTAATTTAAAAATCATTGATGACCCAATATCGTTGCCAAATGTTGCCCAAATACCACATAATATGGCTAACAACCAGGATGCAATAAGAGTTGTCTAAATAAAATAAATAAATAAAATCGCTTCAATAAAACGTTTATTTTTAATAACAATAATAATAATAATAATAATAAATTACCCTGTTAAATTTTAAATCTTTATTTACATCAGCTGTTAAATAACCACATATCATACCAACAAGATAAGGTCCAATTCTTGACCATGGTGAAAATGTAAAAATATCACGCGATATTTGTAATTCCCTGTTGTTAATGTTAATAATAATAATAATTAAAAATAATTTAAAAAATGATGACGTCATTTAAAAAAAAAAAAAAATGATTTACCTATGATTTTTCCAATAATAACCGTTAATGGCGGATGATAAAATGATGAGTGCGACCGATAGAAAGGAAACAAATTTCCAAAATCTATAATAAATTTAACTTTTAAAACTTTTTAAACTTTCACGCACGTACACGCACACGCACACACACGCACTTTCTCACCTTGTCGATAATATTAATATGAATAATCCCAAAAGGAAAAATTGCATGTCAATGGCCAAAAACCAACTCCATGAAACGCACTAAAAAAAAAATTATTGAAGAAAAAAATTTTTTTTTTTTTTTATTATTTCTATTTCAAATTTAAAAAAAAAAAAAAAAAAAAAATGGCGACTCATGTTATACCGTTTCGTTTTGTTTAAATAAATTATTTATGTAAATCGCGTTTCTCCACCATATTTTCCGACATGTTTCATCATCTTCACTCATCATATCGAACAAACTTATTTGTTTTGTTATTTTCAAACTTATCATAATCATTCCGATTGTTATCAAATAACCGGGTGTTAATCTGAAGGAGAGAAAAAAAAGAAAGTTTTTCATTTTAAATAACAAACATTAAAAAATTTTTTTTATTTTTTACTCACCGTAAATAACGTTTCAATGTTGCAAAACTAAATTCGTTGACTTTTTTTTTAACGCTAAATTTTTTTTCACTTTTCAACCATCCTCCATTATATTTATAATATTTAAATGCAAGAGAAAAACCGTTTGTAAATAAAAATGTATCCGTTGATAAACTAACGTGTGGTAATGTATAATTCGAATTTAATTTATTATCTGACAAAAAAAAAAAAAAAACAAAATAAATAATAAATTCTGTATATAATTGTCAATCGTTGGAAAGAAAAAAAATGGCGGAAAAAAACAACAACAACCTGAATGAAACGTTAAATAGTAAATTGTATACAACCAAATGAGCCACGTCATTCCAAACAATCGTATACCGTGTATTATTGATAATTCTTTATTGTTGTCGTCAACTTCCGTTTTGGAAAATAATAATTTTGTGTTGTTTTTTAATGAAAAACATAACGAAAGCCCCGTGAAAATATTTTGTTTAGGTTCTTGTACGTAAATTTTCGGCGTCGTTTTTATTATGTGTATCGGCATCGGTTTATGTTCGGAATTGTCTATTTTCAATTCGTAGCCTGAAAATTTAACAAAAAAAACAAATGAATATCCTGATGATGATGATGATGATGATGATGGTGGTGGTGGTGAGGAAGATGATGGTGATGGTGGTGGTGGTGGTGGTGAGGAAGATGATGGTGATGGTGATGGTGAGGATGATGATGATGATGGTATTGGTGGTGGTGATGATGGCGGTGGTGATGAGGAAGATGATGGTGACGGTGTTGGTGGTGGCGGTGAAGAGGATGATGATGGTGGTGGTGGTGGTGGTGAAGATGATGATGATGGTGATGATGATTAAAGAAAAAGAAAACACTTACAATCGTTTAAATTATTATCCTCGTTCAACAATTCAGAATTTTCAATTATGTTTCTCGCTTTTAAATTTTCCAAAATTTTCTTATTATTATTATTATTATTATTATTTTTAAATTCTAAATCATCGACGGATTTTCTATTTTTTACAGGTATCCAAACGTAAATTTCATATAAAGTTCCAGAGACGACGAGTATAAAAATCAAAGTTCCAACTAATCTGCATGTAAATAAATCAATCGCATATAATTATTATTATTATTATTATTTATATTATTTCATTTAAAAGGAAAAGTGAAAACAAACATAAATTTTTTTTTTTTTTTTTTAAATGATATTTAATGTGTTTGTTAAGAAGAGAATTTATTTATTATAAAAAAAAAAAAAAAAAAAAAAATTCCTTCGAGGGCTTGTAGGAAGTAAACAACAAACGACATTCAATTTATTTATAATTTTTCTTTCTTTTTTTTTTAATAACAACAACAAACACTAGTGAAAAAATTTCATTTCCTTTTTTAAATATTTTTCTTGAAAAAAAAAAAGACTTAAGGCCGTTTGTCGTTGTTTGCACGTAGTAGAATATTTATTTAATTATATAATTAATTAAATTGCAAAAATTTTTATACGAATAATTTTTAACGTACCAAAAAATCAAAGGTTTTGGAATTTTTTTTTAACGGTCAGCCGTTAAATTTTTAAACGACAGCAAATAATAATAATAATGATAATGATAATAATAACCTTACCCTAACGTAATTGATATCGGACTGTACGTCCAAGATAAATTATCTTTGACAAGACGATTCGTTTCATATTCGAGTGTAAAATTATATAAATTTTTAATGGCGAGAGGATTATTACTTCCCCATTCCGATAAAAATGGTTTTAAATCATCCGTGTTACAAATTAATGGTAAACATAATCCCAAATGAATTTTATCCAACGACTTTTCCTTAAAACAAAAACAAATTAAAAATTTTATCCATTTCCTTCCCACCATTTTCTCCTTCCTTCCTTCCTTCCTTAGTGACACGACAAATTTTTTTAAAAAAAAAAAAATACCTTTTTCGAATGTTGATCGTTATTTTCTTGTTCCAAATTCATATTATTTAATTTAAACAAACTCATACGAAAACCAACTCTAAATGGAGGTTCGTAAAATTCTGTCGATTCTTTTTCAACAGGATTTGACGTTTTAAATCGACATTTTGAATGTTTTCCCAACCAATAATTATTACCCCATGTTAAACCACCACCGGGTGTACCGCTCGCATCGAGAACTTGAAAAAATCAGAGAGAGAGAGGTCAAAGTTCATTTATTATATCATTTGTTTAATAAAAAATTAAATTATTATTATTATTATTATTATTTACTTACGTTCGAGTGCCCAATTTTCATGTTTTTCAATACCCTCATAAATTTTTTTCAAATGATTTATACATGTTATTTTTCCAAATGTATTCTTTCTCGTTGCTATTTCCGTTAAACCGTATAACGGATATTGTGATTTTAAATAATCGTTACAAAAAACTTCTCGAACCTCGTAACAAAAACAAAATAATAATAATAATAATAAAACTGAAAATTTATCATTCATCATTTAATAAAATAAAATTAAAAAAAAAAAAAATTATATGATAATTATTATATAAACGTTAAAAAGTCAATGCCGACACTAAACTAAACTAAACTAAACATTTCTTACTAACAAACAACAACAACAAGTTTTACGTCATCCCCCTCCAACAAACGAAATTCTATTTGTTATTCTTTCCATTAAACTGAAATTTTTTTTTTTTTTTACGTAACTTATCAAAACGCCATTTTTAATTATTTTTGCAATCACACTTCAAATTTAAAAAAATTATTTAAAGTGTACGATTGAGAAAACGACAACCACAACAACAACAAACAACAAACGATATTTACCCTTAATAATAATAATAATAATAAATTATTTAATTTAAAATAATCATTCGTTAGAGTGAACACTTTGTTGTTGTTGTTAATTTATTAATTACAAAACAAACAAAAATTAATTAAATTTATTTTATAATTTAAATTGTTTATTGTTACGCATTACCATACTTATTTGTGATGATGAAACGAGGTAAATTTTTAAAGAGAATGCAGAAAAGTTGTAACAACATCTTGTTTTGTGTGTGTGTGTGTGTGTGTGTGTGTGTGCACGTTTGTTATCATGACGATTTAAGAAAAAAAAAACTTTCTATTTTCTTGTCGAAGTCGAAAAGAGAAAGATTCGACCTCGTAATAAACTATTACGTAACGAAAAAAAAAATAAAAAACGATGGAAGGAAAAAAAAAAAAGAATTATTTCATCGTTAACGTTTCCGTTACCATCGTCGTTAGTAACGTTATCGGAATAAATAATAATTTTTTTTACATTCGTTTCTACGGTTGGAAAAAAAAACGTGTAAATAAGTCGACGGTCGCGCTCGCGGTGGGAAAAAAAATAACTACGTTTTTAAAATTAACGTGGCACGATGAAATAAACCATTTTGTATTTATTACATTATTACAGGAAGTAAAATTTTTAAAACTTGTTTTTCCTTTCCATTTTCATAAAACTTTTACCATACAAAAAAAATTCAACGGTTTGTCGTAAACAATAATAATAATAATAATAATAATAATCATTAAATAGATTTCAAAACTTTATAAACTTAAATAATTATAAAATTCATTCATTTTTAAAAAGTTTTAACGGTCTTGACCACAAATGAGAAAAATTTTATTTTTTTGTTTTGTCTTCTAAATTATTAAAGATATTAATAAAAAAAGAACAAAAGCAACTTTTTAAAAATGATTTATTATTAATAGAATTTATTAAAAATTCGACGAGTAATTAATTAATTAATTAATTAATTTCATCTGAAAACCGTTACATAATCGGCCATTTTTTTTTTTTTTTAAACAATTTTAAATTACATAATAAAAAAAATTTATATTTATAATATCGATCGATAAATTCTTTTTATTATTTTCCATAGAGTAAAAAAACAATTAAAAATAAATAAATTCTCAATTTATACATAATTAAAAAAAATTTTTTTTTTTTTTTTTCAAAAATAAAATTCAATTAAATTTTTCCTATTTTTTTTCTTTTGCCATAAACCGTCATTTCCGGTTTATTATTATTATTATTAATTTGTTTTTAAAAAATTTTAATAAGTATTTTTTTTTCTTGTGTCATCACATTTATTTTTTAAATAAAAATAAATAAATTTTTTTTTTCTGTTAAACATTTTTATGTATTTATGTATTTATATAAAAAAAAAAACGATAAATTTTTACATAAAATTATGTACATAAATATTTATTTATATATCATGTAAATCTTAATTAAATTTTAAAAAAATATTATTTCATAAATTATAATTTCATTTTATCATTATTATTATTATTTAAAAAAAAATAAAATAAATTTACTTGGTGCCATTCAATCATATAATAATAATAATAATAATACAATATGAATCAATTTTTTTATTCTTCTGCTTAACAAACGACCAAAAAAAAAAAATTTACAAAAAAATGAAAAAAAAAAAAAAACAAATAAATAAATAAATGATGACGTCATGAATCCACCATCACATCATCAAAATAAAAAAAAAAAAAAACAAAAGACCTCAAACCTCGATGATCTTGCCTTGTTATGAAAAAAAAAAAAAACAAAACAAAACAAACACGACAATTTTATTATTATTATTATTATTATTATTATTGATTAATAATTATTTATTTATTTATTTATTAATTACATTTTCCTCCCCATTCAAATTTACATTTAAGAACAAAATTATACAAAAGGAACTCTTTATATATATATATATTATTAATTAATATATTATGTAAACGATAATAATAACACAGGTACTATATATTTATCAAATTTTTTTTTAGTAATAATAATAATAATGATGATAATGATGATGATAATAACGCCATCAAAATTTTATCGGTTTTTTATACGTTTGTGTGAAAACAATTTTTAAGTATTATTATTATTATAATTTAATTTAATTAAATCGAGATTTTTTTTTTTTTAAATTGTCGAATGTTGACATTAATAATAATAATAATAATAATAATAATAATAATAATAATAATAATAATAATAAATTCCTCATCATTTTATTAATAATAATAATAATAATAATAATATTTTATTTAATATCGATCGAGGAAGGACTCAAATTTAATTTTATAAACGTAAGTGTAAAAGAAAATAGAATAAAATAAAAAAAATGGAAGAAATTTACGGAAGAAATTTTATTATTATTATTATTTATTATTATTATTATTATTTATTATTATTATTATTATTATTATTATTATTATTATTATTAATAATGAGCAAATTATTAAATAAATAAATAAAATTCATTATTATGTGTGTGAGATGATGAGTTTTTGTCAACGTGGAAATTCAATTTTTTTTTTTCTCGAAAGTAAAAAAAAAAAATTTGTTGAAAGGTGAGGGGATAAGAAGAGGATGGGGGAAAAAAAGGGGGAAAAAAGATCAAGCATGAAATTTTAGTCATACGGCCGACGGGGAGGGGGAGGAACGAGGGGGGCGGGAAACGAGAGGCGGGGGCGGAGGGGAGAGTTGGATTAAAGGAAACAAGTCGAATAAGAAAAGAAAATTTTTATCGTTTTAAAAAAAAAAATAATTTTTACAAAGTTTGGCAAAATATTTTTTTTCCTTTCTCTTTTTCCATACATAATAATAATAATAATAATGATAATAATCTCATTGTTTCTTAATCAAAAAATTATTTAATTAATTTATAACCAATCCATTATTATTATTATTATTATTATTATTTTTACTCACTTTTTAAAAAAAAAAAAACATTTCCATTCGTGAAAAATTATTACATTTATTAATTTTTTATTTATTATATTATTTTATTAATTTTTTTTTTACACCAACTTATAACCGACAGTCTTTTGTATAATCAATAAAAAAAAAAAAATAATAATAATAATATTAATAACAATGATTTATTCTCATAATGATTTTCAAAAATGAAAAAAATAAAAATAAAAACTTCAAAAAAAAAATTTTCATTACTTTCTTTCTTTTCTCTTCTTCGGAAAATTGTAAATTTTCAAAAAAAAAAAAATAAAATAAAAATAAAAAGACCGAATTATGATGAACTATCGTCAACAATATTCGAACTTATTTGAAAACAATAATAATAATAATAATATCATTAGAAAAAAATAAATTACAATCAAAAACTTTTCTTTTTTTTTTTTTTTATAACAGGCGCGCGCGCTTTTGTGTGTTTGAATTTTTTTCTTTGTTTTTTAAATTTCGATTCGATAACTCGAAAAGAAAATAGAAAAAAGGTTTTTATCGATATTTCCTTTTTTTTTTTTTTTCATTTCCGACCGAGTCGTCATCATCGCCATCATCATCATCATCATCATCATCGTTCTCGTCGTCGTCGTCGTCGTCGTGAATGTTTTTCCATTTATCCCCTCATCTCATAACATCCGGAAAATTTTTGGGTTCCGGATTAGGTCTAGGGGTTGTTGTTGTTGTTGCTGTTGCTTTTGCTGCTGTTGTTGTTGTTGTTTTTGTCGTTATTTCGTCTCACGAATTTCTTTTTCTTTTTTTTTTTTTATTATCATTTCCTCATCCCTTTTCCAGTGTTACCTGTTATCTTCGATGACGACTTGTTTAAATACTCCTGATTTCGTCATTTGACTTTTAACTACGTCTTGACTTCCTAACGCTGTCGTACCATCTTTGGCAATGAACAACTGAAGACCCGTACCTGTAAATCATTTTTTTTTTTTTTTCAACTCTCACTTCATTCACTCTAATAATAATAATAATAATAAACTTAAACACTAAAAAAAATTAGAAAGACGTTACCGCAAAAAAAAAAAAAAGGTAAAACGTTTTGTTGAGGAAGAAAAAAAAACCCGATGAGAATTACACAAAAGGGAAAACGATCAAACAAACAAGCGACAAACAAACAAACAAACAAACAAACGTTTCGATAACGATTGATAGAGATATCAAGGCTATTACGGTAAGCGTTATTACATTCGAACAAACAATAATGATTGAGTGAAGGTTAATTTTATGCAAAAAAAAAAAAAAAAAAAAAAAAAAAAAACTTTTCGTCCGTTGATTGTTTTCGAATTTGAATTTTAAACACGTTCATCAATTTCACGCGTTCGTTCGACAAACTTAGAAAACGTTGTTGTTTGTTGTTGTTCTTGTCGTTCAATTCAATCAACGAAAGAGAAAAAAAAATAAAAAAATAAGTAAGAAAGGAAAAAATTTCGAAATTCGGATTTGCCTTGTTTATTATATAGTTTTCCCCCTCCCCTCCCCTCCCTACCTCCCCAACTAAAAATTTCCCAACGCTATCATCGTGTGCATTTTTTCCATAAATGATGATAATAATAATAATAATAATAATCATTCATCGACGACCGTTACGTTACAATATCGGATTTAATTTGTTACTTACGTCACACACACAGAAACATTTAAACCGTGTAATTAAATAATAATAACAATAAAAACAACAACAACAAACGACAACCCTTTAAATAAAAAAAAAAGGATATAAAGATAGTTAGAGAGAGAGAGACAGAAAGAGACAAACAGAGATATCTCTTACAAATCAAATTAAAATGAAAGCGAACGAAAAACCAATTTCGAATTTTCAAAGGTACGTAACAAAGGAAAAAAGGTTTGGCATGGGTTTAAGTAAGTAAATGTTTCGCACACGAAAAAAAAGACGTGGAGATAGACACACACACACACACGGAGAAATTCGCAATTTAAATCTACAACAATATCTCGAATAATTAAAACCACTTTTCTTTTTTCCACGTCTATCAAAAGATGAGATACGGTGAGAGGATGAAATGTTTTATTCGGAGGAAAAGGAAAAGTGATGACGTCATCATTACGCGACCGCAAATTTTTTTTTTTTTTTTTTTTTAATAATAGCAAAATATATATATTTACCCGCGGTAGATTCATCCGTTTGTGTTAAGTCGGTTGAACGTAATAATTCATCTATAAGACTATTTGGGTTAACTCTAGTGACTTCGACTCTTCCTCCGGTGCTCACCACGTTATTATCTTCGGTTTTCTTCCTTCTGTCGATCGCTGATTTTGCCCGGTCCAGAGATCCAGTTTCGCTCGGACCGGAACCGGAACTTGCATTTCTGTAAAAAAAAAAAAAAAAAAAAAAACAAACTCAATACAATACAAAATAAAAGGAGGAATGGAAAGAAAGCAATTCGAGTAAACACAAATCGAAAGAGAAAAAAATAAAAAATAAAATTAAAAAAAAATTCGCATGTATTATTCCAGATTAGATGAATATTATTATTATTTTCAAAAAAAAAAAAAAAAAATCAATAAATTCAATAAAATCGATCGATAAAATCAATCGATGCGAAAATTGTTAATTTTTTTTTTTTTTTTTTTTGGGGGGGGGGGTCTTCGAGGAAAAAAATAAAAAAATAAAAAAATTACCGAACGCTGTCAAAACGAACTTGGTCGGGAGGGAGAGAAAGAAAGGGAGATGTGGGAAAAACATCGATTTTACAAAGCGGGAAGAAACAAAACAAAAAAAATTAAAATAATAATAATAATAATAATAATAATAATAATAATAGTGAGAAGATAGATATTGAAAGAAACTAACATTGTGCTGCATCTTCGGAGAATGAAAACGGAATGAGAATTTATATTTTTCTCGTGTTGCGATTGTTCTTCCGTGTTATTATCCATCATGAATTTAATTCCATCTCCGGCGTCAAAAGTTTTACGGTGTTGAACCATCACGCACCTGAAATTATCATCCTTTACCGGTTAGAAGAAAAAGAAGAAGAAGAAGAAGAAAGACAATAATACCAAGAGAAAATAATAATTCACGAAAATAACAATCACGAAACACAAAATTAAATGAAACAGGAATAATGAAGACGAAGACGATGACGACAACGTTCGGACACGAAGCTTTACAAAATTTCAATTTCATAGAGTAAATAAATAAAAAAAAGAAAGAAAAACAATAATAATAATAATAATAATAATAATAATAATAATAATGTTTACGCGAAACTTAAAAAAAATTCTTAATTAAAAAAAGAAATATTTTGCTTATTCAAAAACACACATGGCTCGTTAAAATTCTCTAATCGGACTGTGCACATACACACGCACACGCACACGCACACGCACACGCACTCATACACACAAATCCCATAAACATTTAACGATATCGATTTCTTTGACCGAAAAAACAAAAAAAAGCGAGAAAATTCAAGTTACTCCATCTTTTTTTTTTTTAAAAAAAAAAAGTGTTTGGGTGTACGTGCGTAAGAGTAAGAGAGTACGCACTCGACGCAACATATTATTATTATTATTAAAAATTAACCGTGATTGATGCTGCTCATCATATGACGGCCTTGTATTAACATAAAAAAAAAAAAAATTTTTTTGTTTTTAAAATTTCCACACGATTGTTATTCCTCCGGTCAAAACAAACGAGAAAACAAAAAAAAAAATACAAGTTATGCGGTTAAGCAACGACAAGGCCTGTTACGACAAAAAAAAAAAAAACAAGACACGAAATATTGTTAGAACATTATTTAAAAAAAAAAAAAAAAGCTCCCTTCTAACATTCCATTCTTCCTTCCTTATTACCCCCACCGATAAACAAACAAACAAACAAACAAACAAAATAACAAACAAGCAACAGTTTATTAGTTGTTTTTTTTGTACGTTACATAAATTAAACATTACGCATTACGTTAATTAACTCTCATTATTATTATTATTATTATTATTATAACTTGATGTATTTTTCACTTACCTCTGGGTGACGGCAGACGTTTCGACGAGAGAAGCTGCATATGACCATCTGGTGACGCTGGGCGAATGCAGAATGCCGGGAGAGGAAAAGGATTTGCTGGGATTGTTCGAGGGTGGTGGCAAACGCAGGGTGGTGGTGGTGACCGGGATTTCATCATCGCACGAAGGCCTAGGAAAAGAAGGACTCGTTAATGATTTCAATAAAGGCGCGGCCGTTAATTTTTTTTGCGAATGAAACCCGTTGCACATTTGTAATTTGCTGTGATGGGGTGTCGTCGTTGTTTTATGACGTATTATTAATGAATTTTTCGGCGAGGGTGGGGCCGTGGAAGAAGGAAGGGGGGGCAATCGCGGCGCCCAAACCGGCCAAGAGGGTGACCTACAATAAAGCAACAGGCAAAACATACAAAACTATATCAGCATGCTAATCATTCTTTTTTTTTTTTCGTTTGTATTTTACAAATAATAATAAAAAAAAAAAAAAAAAGCCTTTTTAAAAAAAAAAAACAATAAATAATAATAATAATAACAACTACAAAATAAAAATGCATTTTAATAAAAAGTAAAAAAAAAAAAAATTAATAATAACAACAATAATAATAATTTTTCCCCGTTTTTTTAATTAAAAATAAAATTACAAAAATCGTTATTACTATTATTATTATTAATATTATTATTATTGTTATTGTTGTTATTGTTGTTGTTTTTGTGATAAGTTTTACAAAATGTCCAGAACCGCGCGAATGACACTTTCCTAGCGATTTAATATTATTATCAACGTGATAAAATTATTATTTTTGCAATATTAAAAAAAAAAACATGGCGATCGATGGATCACCATTACCAACACCATCACCATCACCACCACTATTACATCTACTGCTTTTCTTTTCTTTTCTTTTCTTTTCTTTTTTTTTTTTTTTTTTTTTTCTAAAAAAAAATTATGAAAGACATGTAAAATTTTCAACGTCATTCATGCATTCAAAAATCGATGGAGAATGACTAAATAATTTAATTATCAAAATTTATTATTATTATTATTATTATTATTAAGCGCTTGGTAAGACGTTTCTGGAAAACGGATCAATAAAAATTAAATAAATAAATAAATTTATTCGGATTATTGTTTAAACTTTTCCGGGTAACCGCATCCAACTAATAAAAATTACCATTTTTTCTTCTCCATCATCTTTTTTTTCTCTTTTCAATCTTTGAAAACGGTTTTTTTTAATAAAACGAACTGAAAACTTTTTTCCCCTCCCTCTTCACCCCCCTTCCCCCCGACCGACGAATTTTTTAATTTTATCGACTAAAACCATAAGAGTTATAAAAACGCCAGAACCCGACGCCGAAAAAAAACCGCAAATAAAAGTAAAAAAGAAAAAAAGGAAAAACTTCCGACGACGTCCATTTTGAAAATTAAATTCGAACCTAAATTTTTTTGTTTGCATTTTTCTTTTGCCACGTTTATTTTTCTTCGTTAAAAAAAATTATTATTACCATTATTACAAATTTATAAATTATTTATTTATTTATTTATTTTTTTCTTTCTTTATTTCTCGCCGTCGAAAACAGAAAACAGAAGAGAAAAGAAGCGAAAGAGAGAGAGAGAGAGAGAGAAAAAAAAGGAAAAAAAAATGGCAAGAGAAAGGTTATCGCTTGTAGACAATAATAGTAATAATAATAATTAATAATAATAATAATAATAATAATAATAATAATAATAATAATAATAAATTAAAACTCAATGTTTTACATTTTGTTTGAACCAGTGAAAACTTTCAGAAGGATAAAAAAATTTCCATTTTTCTCAATTTTTTTTTACCCTAACGATGACGACGGAAAATCTATCAATGACGTAAATTAAAGAGAGAGAGAGAGAAAGAAACTTTTATATATATAATACCTAACGCATAATCAAACTATCTGCACGTCACAAAAAAAAATTAAATTAAATTTCTTAGAAAAAAAATTTAATTTAATTTTTTTTAAAAAAATTGACTTTTTTTTTCTCGCACGAAAACCTTTTTCCGACTATGACGACGACGACGACGACGACGACGACGACGACGACGACTCGAATTTTTTTTTTTGTAAAACGTGAAATAAAATAAAAAAAACAGAGACTATCCAAAAAAAAAAAAAAAATCCTGCTTCCGGCACATCCATTCAATAAAAATCGTCCTTGATTGAAACAATAAATAAAAATTAACCGCACATACATTTAAATATTTATGTACAATAAAAACGTACAAAAATAAATAAATAAATAAATAAATAAACAATTATCCAGATGATCTTTTGTACAGAAAAAAAGCCGCTTTGAACAGAGTTAATAATAAAAAGCCATTCAACAACAACAACAACAACAAAATTATAATTATAATTAAAAAATTAAAATTTTAAATTACAATTTTTTTTTTTTTAAATGTTAATTTTTTTTTTTCACATGTAAATCAGTAGTCAATTTCTTTTTTGTTATTGTTATTGTCATAACTCGTTTAACATAAGAAAGAAAAGAGAAGAAAAGAAAAGAATAAGAAAAGAGTTAGTGATGATAATTTTAAATTTTCCATTCATTTATCGACATTTTCTTTTTGCTAAAAACGAAAAACGTTTGCCAGAAAAAAAATTCGACACCCGATTTATGCCCCCTTCACCCGTAAGTAAGTAAAAGCATTATTATTATTATTATTATTATTTGCTACCCTTCGAAAATTTTTTTTTTTCCCGGGGCCACCACGGGGAAAACTTACGAGCCCCCCATTTTTTTTTTTTTTTTTTTTTTTGGTAATAATTAAGAAAATTAATAAATAAAGTAGGACAAGAACCGATTGAAGGTTATGATTAATTATTATTTTCAAAAAAAATTATTATTATTATAAATAGCGAGGAGCTCGAGGGCAAAGAGATTTCCCCTCTCTTCTCCCCATTTTATTTTATAAAAGTATAATAATTTTACTTGGAAAGGGTGTAAAAAAACACAGCAAACGAAAATTTAAAAAAAAAAAAAAAAAAGAAAAAGTGCAAAAGTTCATTCGTACCTTATTACGCCGGGGACCAACGTAACTTCCGATTGAGATCCATTGCTGAAAATAATCAAACTTAAAAACAAAAATATTTTATAGAGAAAAAATAATAATAATAACAATAATAAATAATAATAATAATAATAGTAATAATAATAATAACGGAAACGTTTTAAAAAAAAAAAAAAAGAGAAAGAAAAAGAGAGAAAGAAAGAGAGAGAGAGAGAGAAAAATAGTTTGCGAAAGAAAGATGCTGAAAACATGCACGCTGCATATGCCATCTTATATATATATCTAATTATTCACATTAAAAAAAAATCATAATGATAATAATAATAATAATAAAAGGTAATTTATCAAGAATGCTTTTTGCCACAAATTTTTACAAAAAAAAAAAAAAAAAATGTTTGACATTTTATTAAATGACCCTCGAAAATGAAAAAAAAAAAAAAATTATAATTCCTCGCACACTAATAAAATCTATTACGTTAAAAAAAAAAGACACGAAGGAAAATTTTCCTTTTCCCCTCCCCCTTTCCCCCTCCGAAACGGAAGAGAAAATTGTAACTGTCATCGTGATTTGTAATTTACTACCGAAGTCTTTTTACAAAAAAAAAAAAAAAATTGTTTTTATTTTGGGGGATTTCCATCTTCGTTTTCCTTTCCCTCCCCCTTCCCGCCGCCCATCAACTCTCGACTTGTCGAAACGTGAATAATCCTTGTAAAAATTATAGTGCCCCCTCCGACCGAGTCGTCGTAAATAAAAACAAAAAAAAAAAAAAGTAGACAAAACACGAAAAACAATTACAAGTCAATAATGTTTTTTTTTTTTTTTTTGTTTTTGTTTTGTCCTTTTAATTGAGGGCAACATAAAACAAAAACAAAACAAAACAAACTATTGCTAGGGGTCACGTTAAAAATAATTTTTTTTTTTTTAAAAAAAATTTTCCATTTAAAGAAATTAAAATTTTCCAAAAACGTTCATGTACTCTTTTGCCCCCCCTTCCCTCCTTCCCCCTCATTACCCTCATCACATTTTCCTCTTCCTCGAACGCCCTACGCAAAAAAAAAAGACCATCATTATTATTATTTTTTTCTTCGTCGATTTTGACGTAATTCGAAGACTATTAATTCTTATTAAACCCAATCATTTTTTTTTTTAGTTTATTTTATTTCCTGCTAATGACACGACAAAAGGAAAAAAAACATACGATTTTTAATTGCGAATTTTTTCGAAAACATCAAATTAAAACTAATTACTACCATTGGGAAAACAAACAAACAAACAAACAAACAACGACGCAAACAACGAACGGTGATTTAACATTCGTCCATGATTGATATTGTCATTTAAAATTGCACAAACAAATAACACCAACAAACAAACAAACAAACGAACAAACAATTTTTTTTTTTCGAAAAAAAAATCACAACAGCCATCACAAATTAAAACAAATCTTAAAGAAGTGCACGTGGGGGAAAAAAAAAAGGAAGAAGAATATAGAGGGGGGGGCACTTGGGTTTTATATGACGTCACACTCTTAAAAATTCTCCTTCCGTTTCGGTAAAATTTTTTTTTTTTTTGTAATCGATTTTCATTTGATATGAAACAAACACATTCGATGAAATGTTTTAAAACATTTGTGTGATATCTTTTTTTTTATTTTTCTCTCTTTAAAACAAAACAAAAGAAAAAATCTTTTCCCGTACGATTTGGATTAAAGAACAAAACAACAAAAGAGAGACAGAGAAGGGGGGGGGGAGTGACAGAGAGAGAGAGAGAAAGAGAGATAAATGAAACCTACCTAATATGTCCGGAATCTCCCGAACTGCTTTGCCTAGAATGTTGTGACTGACTATTTAGTGAACTGTACCCCGAAGCTCGACTCATTTGACTCGTGTTCGATGAATTTCTAGAATGACCAGGTTCGTGTGTTTCGTCCGGTTGTATCGGCGGCTCTAACGTGACCACATTTTCTGACCCCGTCTCGGCAAACGTCTCTGACGGAAGAGAACCCGATACGAGTTCTAAAAACAACAAAAAAAAAACTTTTACTACTCTTCACGGTTGACATACCCACCACCGTTTTGGATATAAACCGAACCGAGATATCGCCGTTGTTAAAATAATTTGTACCATCGTACCTAATTTTTTTTCTCTCGTACCTTCTTTTAAAACTTCATTAAATATTTTATTTATTAAAAAAAAAAAAAATTACCGGAAGAAAATAAAGGTGATCTCTTTTTGGGAAGACTACCAAAACCAGAACTTCCGCTTGCTATCGAACCGCTCGAATAATCTTCTCTCCTTTCCTTTCCATCCTGTGATGCTATTATTTGGTTTTGCTTGGCTGTTGTCGATGGCCTGATGTCGTCATTGATGAAAAATAAGAAGAAAAAAATTTCATTGAACCCATGTAATAATAATAATAATAATAAAATAAAGAATTTATACATTTTTATATCCGAATCCGAATTTATAAAAATAAAAATTTTGTTGTTTTTGTGTACGCGCACGCGCATGCGCACTAAATTTTTTTTTTTTTAATGCATTTTACAAATAATATGTTTAAAGTTTTTCCGTTCGTTTGGCAAAACAAAAACTTTCTGCAAATCTAAAATAACTTTTTTTTTTATTAATGAATGATTTAAAACTAGAGAGAGAAAGAGACAGAGAGAGAGAGAGAGAGAGAGAGAGAGAGAGAAAACTTTCTGCTTACACTTTAAATAAAATATCACCGGATAGCATGTTCATTGTAATGGCGACTTTGAGCATTGAATTATCTTGTCTGTGTCGCGTGTCGTAACCTTCCAATAAACATTTTCTAACAGAATGTCCGGCTCCCGCGAATTCTGCTAAATTTAAATCACTGAAACCTAATTTTTGGAATGATCGTCCTCCCTTTAATTCCTGCAACAAAAAAAAAGGATTAAAAATTAATTCAGGTATAAAAAAATAACAAAAAAAAAAAAAAAAAAACATTAACGCGAGTTGTTAAAAATCGCGAGTTCGGCCGGCGATAATGCGTAGGATGACTTTGTGATATCCCTTTGATTACACCTTAAAAGTTCAAAAAAATTTCAGGTATATCTCGAAATTCAAGGTATAAAGACGATGAGGGAGAGAGAGGGAAAAAAAAAAAGGAAGAATCCAGAAAAGAAAAATTTACCTTACATGCTCGATATTGCGATTATTTTTTATTTTTTGCGGGGAAAAATTTTTGTTGATGTAACCGAGCTGTGTAATTGACTCGGATTTCAGCACGATTTTGCCTTCGGTATTTTATAAATATTTTTAAACGTGGAACCAGATATTGTCAAAAAAAAAAAAAAGAAAAAACCTTGAGAAAAAAAATTATTTATTAAGCAATCTATAGCTGTGCGTGAGGATTTTTATCATTAAACACAAATTTATTTTATTTTATTCTTATTTAAAACTTTTGCGACAATCAAACGCCCCGCCGCCATTTTCGCCACCGCCGCCTCTCATTTCCCTCCTTTTTTTAAATTTTCAAATTGTATAAAACGCAATTTAACAGAAGAAAAAGAAGAAAATGTCGAAAGCATCAATTTTTAAACTCTAAAAATTTTTATTTTCTTTCAAATATTAAACTTGATCAAACAAAATATTAAATTACCCCCTCCCCCCGTTAAATAAATAACTACAAAAATTAATCGGCTTTGATTTCAATTTGGGGGATAAGGAGGGGGAAAGCAAAAATTAATTTTATTTAGTAAAAAAAATTTTTTTTTTTTTTTTTTACTTTCAACTTAAAACTTTTTAATTGACTTTTCTCAATTTTTTTTTTTTTTTTTTTCCTAATTTACCTTTGAGACTTGAACAAATTTTAGACAAATTAAGCAGAAGAAAAAAAAACATTAATAATAATAATAATAATGATAAAAATAAAAATAAAATCTTTCTTGCGAAATACTCATCGTTTCGATTGATAATAACTCAGGTAATGCCGTAGGACGACGCGTTTCGATGAACGCCGATAAGAAACTTAAACGTTTGACAAATTTGACCTTGAATTGATAATGACAGGCATATACGTTTTTCTTTCCTGATAACTCGTGGGTAGATACAAAAATAACAAATGCATTTTTTTTTTTTTTCCTATCCTTCGTTTGTTACCATTATTATTCTATTATTGATCTATCGATTTCTCCATTTTGTTTCGGATTAGAAAAAGAGAGAGAAAGAGAGAGAGAGAGAGAGAGAGAAAATAACTACTGACAAAAATATATATATATATATGAATATCGAATCGAAAAATACAATTTTTCTTGTATTGATAAAATCAAAAGATTTTTTTTCTACCTTCAAATCGATAAATCTCAAACATTTGTTTTACTAGATCCCTTCCTTCCCCTCTTCCACCTCCCCTCAAAAAAGAAAAACCAGACGATTCGTCGTGTTAATAATAATAATTATTATTATTTGCCTCTAAATCATATGTTTCCTATTTTCGTATGGATTTTTCTTTTATTTTTGATTAATGATTTTAAAATTTGATTTCAAAGTTTGCTCTCTCTTATTGGACTGCAACATTTTATCCTTTTTCTTCTTCTTCTTCTTTTCTTACAAAAAAGCAAAAAAGAAGAAGAAAGAAAAAAAGTGGACTCGACGTATTAATAGTTAAAAAAAGAAAAAAAAGTGACATAATATACGAAACCAAACCGGTCAGTTTTTTTAATTTGCGGAGGCGAAATCTCAGCAAAAAGTTGTCCCATTAATCGAAGTTTAATATCCTCCTTTTTCCCCCTCTTCCCCTCCCCCATTTTCTCCCTACGTAAATTTCACGGATGTAAGTTCATCCATCCGATTCTTTAACAAACAACAATAAAAACAAATCTTCGAAAATAATAATAATAATAATAATAATAATAATAATAATAATAATAATAATAATAAATTAATTTTACTACTATTCTTTTTAGTATAAAGTTCACTTTTTTTTTTCTTTTCTTTTTTCTCTTTTTATTCCTCCCCTTTTCGTGTCAGAATTTTTTTTTTTTTTTACGTGACGTCTCGCAATCAAAACTTCTTAAACGCCTTTTTGACATAAAAAAGAAATAATAATAATAATAATAAATAAATAAAATAAAAATGGAATTAAATTATGAATAATTTCATTTTCTCGTGCTTTATAATCAAAACGTTTAACTCCTGCTTAATCTATTTTTTGCCCCCCCCCTCTCCCGTTTGTGTGCGATTGAGCATGATTATGGGGCGGAGGCGGAGGGGGAGGGGAATTTTAAAATCAAAGAGCCTCCTCATTTCAAAAGTTCATTACACTTATAAATAATAATGTGTGATCTATTAAGTTCTTTTTCCATTTATGAAAGGAATCACTGTCAACCGAAACAACAAACAAACAAACACTAAAAAAAAATTTAAAAAGAATATTCGATGTGTTCGTCGTGGTTTTTGATGCATCGTCCGAAAAATTATAATTATTATTATTATTTTTTTAATGAAAATAATAATAAAAGGAATGTTTTGGAAAAACGAGTTTTTCCTTTACAAGACTCTAACTCGAAACACGTTTTTTTTGCCACATCCTGCCCCTCCCTCCCCCCATCAAATTATAATTTAAGGAACAAACGGAAAATTTTTCTTTTCGCCTTTTATTGCTAAAAATATTTAAAATCGCTCCTTCCTCCTCCCGCCCCCTTTTATTTTTTAAAGAAAATTTGCCGAGTGCAAAAAATACAAACTTATGCCATAAAAAAAATTAAAAAAAACTTAATAACAAATAATATTATTTATATAATACGATTTGAAAACAACAACAACAACAAACGACAACAAACGACAACAAACGACGACTCGACTCAACCTTGCATTTTACGTTATAATTCAATAAAATAAAACTCAAACTTGAAATGTTTTCTTTCACCGATAAAAAATAATCGATAAATCAAATTGTTTATTAAAAAAATAGTAATAACAATAACAACAATAATAATAATAATAATGATGATGATGATGATGATAATAATAATAATATTTAAAAGTAATTTAACGAAACGAAAATAAAAATAAAAAATAATCAGCATTTTACAATCACGACAATTCGAACACGATCCAACTACCTGAAAACTAAAAACAAACAACGAAACAACCAAAATAAAAAAAAATACAAAATATACAAAAACAAAAAAACAACCGAGTATTGCAAAAAAAAAATACTAATAGTAATAATAATAATAATAATAATAATAATAATAAAAATAATAATAAAAGAAAAACATTGAACGAAACGTTGAAAACAAATCGTGTGTGTGTGTAGTAAATATTTTTTGCATTAAAAAAAAAAAAAACGACGACGACGACGACAAACACAAAGAAAAAACGAAAATTTTAATAATAATAATAATAATAATAATAATAATAATATTAAAAAAATATTTTATGGTCAAAACAAAAACAACAAAAACAAAAAAAAACGAATAACGACGCAATGTATTTTTGCAAAAATATCGTGAAAATAAAAAAAAAAAATTTTTATTTTCTTTTTTCGTGTGTTCGTGTGTGCTGTGCGTGTGCGTGTGCGTGTACAGACTAAGAAAATTTGCAACTCCCTTCAAAATTTCTTATATTTGAAATAGAAAAAAAAAAAAAATTTTTTTTTTTTAATCTATTTAAAATAAAACATGACTTTTCTGAAGATAAGTAACATAACGTGACCACGTGATTTCTCCACCATATTAATTATATCATTTAATTTAAGAGAAAAAAAATCAAAGGTATAAAAACTTATTAAATCTCACGTGGCCAGGTGTAAACACTTGAAAATCAAAAAACAAAACAAAAAATGGCGATAATTGATGATTTAACAGTTAATTTTTTTTTTTTTTTTTTTTTATCACGAATTCAAATGATTACGAAGCAAAAGGACTCAAAACAATTTCATATAAAACGACCTATACGACGATGATAATAATAATAATTTTTTTAAAAAAAATAATTCACGTCGACGTGGAAATTCTACATTTTTCTTCTCACGAAGAAAAGTAGGGTAAATTTTCCTTTTGCCATTTCCTACATTTTAACTCTTTCTCGTATTTTACTCTTATCCTTAATAAAGTACATAAATAAATAAAAATAAGGAAATTTTTAATTTTGATTGCTGCTGTTGTTGTTGTTGTTGCTGTCGAGAGACTCCCCAGGATAAAAAAAAAAAACCCATATAGCAGCACTTTTCGTATCAATCGTCATTTCGAAAAAAAAAAAATATAAACTTTTTTTTTTTAATTTCATTATTTCCGCGTACAACAACAACAAACGATTTTTTTAAAAATACTTTTTTTTTTTGGGGTCAACGAACTCAGCAGTAACCTTAGCTTTTTAAAATAAAACTCATTGAAAATAAATAAATAAATAACGAAACGTATGCGGAAATGCATAGAGAGTAAAAAAAAAAAAAAACCGGAATTTTGGAAAATAGAAAAACAGAAAAAAAGATTTTAATAAAATTTTATTTTTAATAAATTAAATTTATTAAATTAATTAATTAATTAATTATTCCGAAATTCCTTTTTTTCCATCAAAAAAAAAAAAAAACACAAAAAACCTTTTAAGATGCAAAACAAAAAGCAAAAAATAATAATAATACTATTTTTTTTTTCCTGTCAATGACCCGGGGCACGTAATTATTTTTTGCATTTTATTCATCATCATCGTCATCATCGTCATCATTATTATTATTATCGTCTCTTTTATTATTATTGTTCTGCTTATATTATTTCATAAATTGACGAATCATTATTATTATTATCAACGTTCAATATAATAATTATTTAAATCAATTAATTAATTAAAGTAGAAGTAAAGGACAGACACTGATGGATCGAATTATTTTTTGGTTTTCCACCCCCCCCTTTCCCTTCTCCCCCGACTTTTCCGATTCGATGTGATGTCAATCGATCGATTTTAAACAATCCAAACAAACGAATAAATAATTAATTAATGCC